TAATTAATATCTATAATATATTCGATTTTTATTCTTAATTTTCTGAGTTAATTCACTTAATTCATTAAAATTATACTATTTTAGTGTCACCTTCTTCATTACATTTTTCAAATCATTGTGGTATAAATATCTACACACACATATGTATGTATTATATGCATACTTATAGAAAAGGACTTACTTAGTCCTTAGTAGTATTTTAAAACACTTTCAAAATAAAATGTCCTGCACAATCTACAGTACTTCACATTCTTAAGTAATAAATGAGTCGAGTGTAAATACGTATGTGTGAGTGATAAAAAACATAGAACATTATCGAAGCGCATAAAAGTTTTGCCAGTATTGAAATCCGAAGTAAGATGGATTTCATTTAAGAATTTCCACTAAGTTTTTCTTCTAAGTATTTCTCTCAGGTATTTCTTCTAAGTCTTTCCTCTAAGGCTTTCCTCTAAGGATTTTCTCAAAAATTTATTTTAAGTCCTTCATCTAAGAATTTTCTCTAATATTAGTTTTTATTCTTTTCTCTAAGCTGCTGCCCTTTATATAGGACGACTATCACTCAAACACTCAATTGTTGAGCCCTGCGCCAGGTAGGGTTCGGCGCAGTCGAGCTCTAAGTGACCAATGGGAGCACCCTCTGCTGCTTCTTAAATGTAAAACGAAGCTTGAGTGCTCTCGCAGAAAGTTCTCCCATTGTTCACCTAAGTATCAAATGATACTGAATACTGCTGCATACATATTGAGAACTTAAATGATCTTCTGAAGTTCTTCTTCATCCCGTGTTTTTGTTAGGCAAACGGAGAGAGAGACAGCTAGAGAGACGGACTGGGATATGGACAAGGAGATAGAAATACCGACAGATATTATGTTCTCTTAAGGACTAGGACTTCTGCATAGTCTGCCTCATTTTTTGGGTGTTCCATTCCATACCATTTTCAGTGGATTTATTATCAATAGGCTAGACCGCTTTTTCTCATAGGCTAGATCCAGCTTTAAATAACTAACTTGGCAACACTTATAGAAGCACAAGAGACGAGCTGAATCTTGCTGGATCGCTTATGTCTTAAGGCTGTTATTTGCCATTTTTTGTGTAAGAGAATAAAAGAGTGAGAGCGAGAGAGAGAGATGGAGAGATGGAGAGAGAGAGAGAGAGAGAGATAGAGAAAGAGTAAAGCAAATAGGAAGTGAACTTTCAGCTTGTAATTTTCCGCAAATATAAATTTGTCCCTACATACTTATTAATATTAACATTATTATTTGTATTTCTTAAATTTAATACAGATTAATAATTCCTATAGTACAATTCTTCGAGACAAATCAAATCGAATTGCTTTAATTAATTTTGTTTAATATTTACCAATCATTGCCAGCACCACAGTGGCAAAATAAAATGCGCCAGCGAATTTCCACTGAGGTCCCGCTTTGTGTGGTTTGTTCTCTATTATTACTATTTCGATCATCCGGTAGTCTTCGGCACTCACATTGTATTTCTCAACGAAATTGTTCTTTATGGCTACAGCATGAAATTAAAATTGTATCCCAATTCCAATATCAACAATCAAATTCATAGCCAATCAACAAATTTAAAAAATATCATAAAATATTATTGAATAGCACAGATCAAAAGACGAAATGAAAAGATTTATTATAACAATTAAACAACATCGAATATTATATTTTGATCTGTGCTGGTGTCGAATATTATGAAAATGGTTTGGATTTTTTTTATATATTTTTATTTATTTTATTTTATTTTTTTTTTTTAAGG